AGTGTGTTCCCATAAGGAAACGGAGTCTCACAGGATGTGACTTTGAGTGTCTCAACAGCCGTGTCTTCCCACTCAGCCACTTGGCTTCTAGTCAGGCCAGCCCTCGGGACCTGGGGTCTTCTGCGGATGCCCCCATCCCAGTGAGAGCTCCTAGGGGGGGCTACTTGTGTGACATGGGCCAGCCTCCGAGGCTTATGAAAAACCAAGTGACTGAAGTGGCCACGTTGACTGTGCCCTCCTTGGGGCTAGTGAGTCACCCCAGCCGTGTCCCGCTTGGATGGTGTGAGCATCGAAGGGGACACTCTCCAGGTGGAGGGACCCGACAGGACACTGGAGCTCTGTCTGCTCTGGACAGACTGGCCACTGTGCAGCAACCAGGAAGTGGGATGGGCCGAGACAGACTAGGTAAATACCAGCAGGGAGGGCCCTTCGTGGCGTGATGCGTCCTGCCGCCTCCTGCCAGGGGCTTGGGGGCTGTGGGCAGCCACAACCTGGCAGGCGGCGGGTCCCACTCTGCCAAGGGACTGAGCTCCCGTTAGTTGCTCTGAGGTGTCTGCCAGAGTCCACCTCCCAAGAGGGATCCAGCCACTCAGCCTTCCCAGACAGGCTCAGGTGTTTGCCCTACCAGTAATAGTAACACGAGGGTGGCATTGAGGGCTCAGATACCAGCCTGGCCTTACCCAGCATCTACTGGCTATGCTTAAGTCTGTCTCACCAAACTCCTGTGACAGTGTCCTGGGGAGGATGCCATTCAGCCAACAACTGAGACTTGGGCACTTCTGATTCAGCCAACAACCCAGGCCTAAGCACTTCAGATCCAGAGTCACAGTCCCTCAGCCACACCTACATGCTTCCTCTTGTCCCTTCCGCCCTGAGTCCCCTTATCCTTTTCAAATAGCCCTGTCAAAGGCCCAGTCCTGGCTGGGGACGTGGCTTAGCCGATCGAGTGCTTGCCTCGCTTGGCCACGTGAAGCCCCGAGTTTAATCCCCAACACTGCTTAAGCCTGTCACTCCAGTAGCATCCAGGGGGTGTAGATGCAGGAGGACCAGAAGTTGAAAGCTATCCTTGGATACGCAAAGGCCAGGGCCAGTTTGAGATACATGAAGTTCCGTCTCAAAAGGAAAACCCAGCTCCTGTGACTGTGTGTTGTGCTGCATCCCGGAGCTGGGAAGAGGTGCTATGGATGTTTTCTTCTTGGTCTCACCTAGAAGGTGGGGACCACACAGCTGCAGCCTTGTCTGGCACCCGCTAGCTAACTTCCATCCCATCCACCTGCCCTTCTCTCAGGAGTGAACCAAGTAGCTGACACTCATGGTCATGTTTGTTTGAGGCTCCCGTAGGAGTCAGACTTCTCATTGGTCCACCAAGGAACCCTAGGATGATGAAGAAACCCACAGAGTCTGACTGAGGGTCTAGGGTCTGTCTCCTGCCATACAGCCCCCACCCAGCCCCCACTCACCCCTGGTCCTGGCCCTTATTCACCAGTGACCCAGGCCATAGTGGTCCTCAGTGTGCCCTGCTCCCTCCGCATTCTGCCTTTGATCTCATTCCAGGTACGGAGCTCTGGTCCTCCACCCTGCTCCTCTAGCCCCTGCCCCAGGGCTGGTGCTCCCTTACCCTGTTGCTCCCCTACTTTGGTGCTCCCCTACTCTGGTGCTCCTCTATCCTGGTGTTCCCCTATCCTGGTGCTCCCACATGGTGTTCAGTCCTAGAGGAACATTCTGAATGAATGCCTTCCTCAGGGCTGTAGGCTCTGGGAGGGGAAGAGGAGATAAGGAGATGGTGTTTGCTGATTCGAAATGTGTCACCTGCCACACCACACTCATTGTGACATACAGAGTTGGTTTAGACCAGAAAAAAAAATTCGAAGTAGTGTCCTTTTTACTTACTTTTTAAAAAAAATTCATTTAATATTTATGGGTATTTCACCTGCATGTATGTCTGTGCGCCACATGTGTGCCTGGTGCTCACGGAGGCCAGAAGAGGGCATCGGATCCCCTGGCACTGGAGTCACAGACAATTGTGAGCTGCCACATGGATGCCGGGACTTTGACCTGGATCCCCTGGAAGAGCAGCCATTTCTCCAGCCTATCCACCCCGCTTTGAGGCAGGGTCTCACTTAAGTCGTTCTGTCAGAATCGGAACTCACTGCGTAGACCAGACTGGAATCAAACTCCCAAAGATGCCTTCCTGCCTCTTCCTCCCGAGTAATGGGATTGCAGCAGATGGCAAGGCAAAGGCTGGACGGTGGAGGCCACCAGCCTGTCCACCCACACTAAGGTTTCCTGTTCTTCATTCCTTTTTGTCTACCCTGGGGCAGTGCATACATGTGGCAGCTAATAATTGCCCATTTAGAACGTGTCAACCCAGAAGGAAGGACCTGAGGAAAACCAGCCCCCTGCCGCCCTCCCCAGGAGTAGAGATGTCTTGCTTGCCCAAACCTGTCCCTGGCTTTAAGCAGCTTTCCTTGTTCACGTAATGAGGTCGGCATCTGATAGACTTGTGCCAGGGTTTCCACGAGGCCTGGCAAAGCCCCGAGAGTGAAGAGGATGCCCCCCCCTCCTCCCTGTGCGGGCAAATCGGAGAATGGTGAGGGAGCCCTCTGGCCGCATTGCATTCTGGGCATCCTTTGCAGCCTGGTGTTTACTGAGGCACCCTTAGTCTGGCGCCTGCTTACCTGGTAACTTCTGCCCTCGAGCAGGCCCAGAAACTAAGGCTCCCAGAGGCTGGTGAACTTTGCAGTTACTAAGAGGGCCTGAAATTGGTTCCCCTCACCCTCTGCCACGCCCCACTGGCCAAGTGGTCATGACTGCAGTGTATGATCTTGGGCCGTGGTCCCATATTCTGTGTCTCCTTGGGCAGAGAGGAAGGCAGGGAGACCTTGCCTGGGACCTGGGTCCCGCTGGCATCCCGCACTGCCTCCCTTGGCCACTCCTGAGCTCCTGTGGGACTACACTGCCTTTATACCACTGGCTAGCTCTGCTGGCTGTCTAGTTTGTTGTCTCCCAAGGAGGGATTGCTACTGAACTTGCTCTTGTCAGTATCCCTGGTCAGACACAGCCCTGGCACACAATAGGTGTTCAGGAGAGTCTTTTAAGAGTAGGTGAGTGGACAGGCCTTGAGATTTGTACCCTCCCAGAATCCATTCTGTTGAAGCTCCTGCCTGTTTGCCACATAGATTTGTGGTGGATGGGTTTCACTATGTAGCCCAGGCTGGCCCTGACCGCCTGAGCTCCCTACCTCTGTCTTCCAAATACTGGGATTATAGGCATGTATCACCATGTCTAACTGATACATAGTTTGTGTTTTTTCTTTTTTGTCTGTTTTTTAACAGGGTAAGGATACTTGAGACTAAACTATTTGGCAACTGTTGCTTTAAGTGAACTCCCCCGTGAGGCTGTTGTAGGAGGGCATCTGTCCTTCCCATGTCTCCCTATCCCAGACCCCCTCCCTTAAGGGCATCAGCAAACCATGCTGGCATGAAGGGACGAAGGGCCCATGATTGCTCCGAGCACGTGTGTGAACATGGAGAAAGAAACGGGAACACGGTGGAGGAGACACCGCCCCACCCCCGCCTCACTCCCGCGGGGCCCTCCCTGCTCGGCTGGCACTGGCTCGGAATGTGTAATAACAGCCTTCAGGGCAAATTAGAACAGGGAGTGAACTCTTCCCTGGCCACAGAGAAAGAACAGGCACGAGGGGGAAGGAAGACTGTATGTGTGCACGTGCGTGGGACCAGTGGGAGACCGGTCTTCTCAGGGACCCTTTTCTGAAGTCACACGCGCCCCGGGTGGTCTGATTTTCCTCCCGCTGTGAAGTGGCAACAGTTTTGAGTGAGATCTGAGTGAGACTGAGGCTGGAGGGGCGTGGCCAGCTTTCCCAGCCGCTGTACCAAGGTTGGGGGGAGGGAGTGAGGACCACAGTCTGAGACTGTATCACATGGTGGTAAAAAAGACAAGAAGCAACATTGTCAGTGGCGTTGTGCCCTGGAGATGTGTGACCTACCTTGTGTCACAGCAGTCCCGCACTGGAGGATGCTATATCTCCCTCCCTTCCACAGGTAGAGAATGTGAGCTCCCCCACCCCCACCCCAGGGTTAGAGGCTGTGGTGCTAATCTCCCCCTCCCCGGGTGCCATGCTGCCCGGCTCAGCTTGGCTCTGCACTCCAGGTCCTGCCCAGCAAGCTCAGGGGCCTGGGAAGCCAGGGCGTCCCAACTCACACAAGTTTGAGCTGTGGCTTTGCCACTAGCCTGTGTGGCCTCGGGCAACTTACTTCACGACTCTGAACCTGGGATGTTTCCTCCTCCCTAACGGGATAATTGTAGCAGCACCTACCTGCGGGGCAGGGTTTATCAGCCTCCGCCCTATTGGCTGGCTCTTTGCATTCTGCCCTGGGTATTGAATGAGGAGGGTTCACAGCATCCCGGCCTGGACACGCTAGATGTCACTGGCTTACTCCCTTGTACAGTAGGGCTACATGGGTCACTGCACATAGCTCTGTGCCCCTGGTCCGTCATTTCAGGAGGATTGGCTGAGTGTGTGTGTGTGTGTGTGTGTGTGTGAGAGAGAGAGACAGACAGACAGACAGACAGACTTAGGGACAGCTGCAGTAAACACTGTCTACTCCCATTCTGTAATTATTTCAACATGACGGGAGCTAATCATGATTATGGTGGACATGCCAAGGTCATGTGACATGACCAGGGCTAGCTCACTCCGGGTGTCCTGACTTGGGGTCCCCAGGTACCCGGATGTTGTCCAGTTTGGGGAGGAGATAAGGCATGATGCCAGCTTCCTAGTGGTGCCTGGGAGAGGGTCACAGGGCTGCCCTGGACCAGTCGTGTTGATCACCGATGGCACACGGCTCGCATTCCCTCTCTCCCGACCTCAGGTCCCCGGGGAGGTGAGCCCCGTGTGCCTGGAAGGACACTTTTAATAGCTGGCCCTGAGCCTGCCCTCCTAAACCATCCATGCGAACACTCTGTTTCTACAGAGCAGAGACCCGAATCGCAGAACCCCCTCAGCGTGCAGATGGCAGGTGGACAGGACCTGTAGTCTCAAGAGGCCTTCCGTGGGGCTAGCTCCGAGTGGTGCTTCGCACACCTGGGAGACCTCAGGAGGAGGTGTGGCCACCCCAGTTTTACAGGTGAGAAAAGCAAGGCCCAGAGAGGGAAACCTGACTAGACTCAGCTTCGTTCCTCCCCCTACAGGTCTGAAGATGCTACCGTTGCGCCCGTTTTCCAGAGGGGAACACAGAGGCTCTGGCTCTCCAGTGTCTTGCCCTCAGGCATACTTTGTGTGTAAACAGCAAAATTGGAATTAGAACTGACATCTGAGTGACTCCAAAATCCAGCTCTCTCTCTCTCCTTGCTGGTGTCAAGAGAGAAGCCACCCCTGGCAGACATTCCTCCCCCTCTGCCTGCCTGGCTGTGTTTGTAAGGGAGGCCCCTTGCCAGTTCCCACCTGGGCGAGCCTTTCCTGGCAGTTTCAAAGCAAACATGGTGGGCATCAGTTTGTTGATTTTCTTCGTGTGGGGCCTAAGGAGGAGGCACCCACAGACTCCTGTACCCTCTGACATGTGACAGAATTCTAGGACTCCCAAGGCCTAGCTGCCCCTAGAGCCCTGCCCTGCTGGCTCTAGGTGAACGTACATTTGGGCCTGAAAACCAAAAAAAAAACCTTGTCTTCGAAAGGCGTGTGTCTGCCCCTGGAAACCTCAGTTTCCTCATTTGAGAAATGGGTACAAAGAACCCTGTTGTCTCTGCTCTTCCATCCCGTGGGGACTTAAGATGAATGTGTTCTCTGCCTGGCAGTTAATCTAGGAAAGAGAGTGAGCTAAGGGATAGAGGAGGATTCTCAGAGCTGGGGACAGTTGGGGACACAGCAGGCAGGAGCCAGGCTGAGGGGAGAGCACTACTTAGCTCTGACATCAATTTAAATCTGGGAGCCTCCGTTACGAACCCGGAAGACGGGTAATGACAATGTTGGAGAAGCTGTGGGAACCGCCACCCTGTACACTAGGGTCCCGTGTCTCCTCAGAACACCTATTGGTCAAGGGAGCACTTGTAGGCAATCTGGGCGCTGTCTCGTGTCTTAGTCTCTAGCCGTGTCATAGATTAGGAGACTGAGGCTGGGACGTGCTGATTGGTTCAGTGTCACACTGGCTGTGTGGAGCCCAGCTGTGACACCGGGTCAGATGGGTCAGTATCCAGGCTTAGGGCTGATTCCCAGACTTTCTCATGCAGCTAATGTCTGTCCAGGGTAGCTGGGCTGGAGGCAGACCCATGTCTCCCTGTTCCTGAAAGAGGCCCCTGTTGTGGCTCCTGCCTGGGGCTGGCGTCCGACCACATCTGGGAGTGGCCATCTCGGCCCCTGTCATTACAACGGTGGCTTTGAAGCAACTGGCAACAGTGCTGTTTGCCCACGTGGGAGGGGGCTTCCTGAAATCTCTACCACTGGCCAGGCTCTGCCTGACCCCCCTAAGTCCCCAGCATGCTGACTGCCCCCCCTTACTCCCCAGCAGGCCGAGCAGTACAAACAGATCTGAGTCCAGCATGGCAGATCCTGGTGATGGCCTCCGTACAGCTCCTGGGGAGGTGGCTGAGCCCCCTGGAGATGAGAGTGGTACCTCTGCTGGGGAAGCCTTCCCCCTCTCTTCTCTGGCCAATCTGTTTGAGGGGGAGGAAGGTTCTTCTTCTCTTTCACCGGCGGATGCTAGCCGCCCTGCTGGCCCCGGGGATGGACGTCCAAACCTGCGTATGAAGTTCCAGGGAGCTTTCCGCAAGGGGGTTCCCAACCCCATTGACCTGCTGGAGTCCACCCTGTATGAGTCCTCAGTAGTGCCTGGGCCCAAGAAAGCGCCCATGGATTCCTTGTTCGACTACGGCACCTACCGTCACCACCCCAGTGACAACAAGAGATGGAGGAGGAAGGTCGTGGAGTGAGTATTCTTGGCTGTCTGGTTGGCAGTCTCTTATATTGAGTCAATCACACATCCACCCACCTATCCATCCTCCCACCCACCCATCCATCCATCCACCCATCCATCCATCCATCTACCAACCGATTCATCCATTATCCAGCCACCCAGCCACTCATCCAGCCACCCAGCCACCCGTCTGTTCACCCACTCACTCATCTATCCATCCATCCATCTGTCCATCCATCCATCTGTTACACTCATCCATCCATCCATCCATCCATCCGTCCGTCCATCCATCCATCTGTCCATCCATCCATCTTTCCATCCATCCGTCCGTCCATCCATCCATCTGTCCATCTGTCCATTCATCCATCTGTCCATCTGTCCACTCATCCATCCATCCATCCATCCATCCATCTGTCCATCCATCTATCCATCCGTCTGTCCGTCCATCTATCCATCCGTCCGTCCATCCATCCCTCACTCATGCATCCACCCACCACATCTCTATCATCCATCCATCCATCCATCTGTCCATCCATCCACCCACTTGTCCATCCATCATCTGTTTATCATCATCCCTCTATCCATCCGTCCGTCCGTCCATCCTTCCCCATTCGTCTGTTTGATTACCTGCCTGTCTCTTTGTCTACCCACCCTCCAACCATCCCTTAGTACACCTACCATCTATCTTTCTACCTCTTGTCTGTCACACAGCCAGCCAGCCATCCCCCGACTCATCCATCTACCCCTTCTTCATCTACCCATTACCGACTATCCACCATCTCTCCATCCATCTACCCAAACATATATCTACTCCTTTATATAGTTACCCATCTGTCTACACACACACACAACACACACACATACCACAGACATATATACAACACATACAGACACACAAACACACACATATACATACACCACACACACACACACACAAGTACACACACAACACACATAGACACACATACACACACCACACACACACACACACATACCACAGACATACATACAACACATACAGACACACAAACACACCACAGACACACACAAACACACACACATACATACACCACACACACAAGTACACACACACCACACATAGACACACACACACACCACACACACCACAAACAGACAGACACACACACACAAGGACACACACAAGGACACACACAACACACATAGACACATATACACACACACCACAAACAGACAGACAGACACACAGACACACACTCACACATAGACACACATACATACACACACACCACAGACAGACAGACACACACACACACTCCCAGCTGTCCTGGAACGCGCTCTGTAGACCAGGCTGACTTTGAACTCACAGAGGCCCTTCCTTCCTCTGTTTCCCAAGTGCTGGGACTAAAGGCCTGGGCCACTATCCCCTGGCCTCAGTCACCTTTCCATCCAGCAGCCCATTTTCCACTTGTCCGTCTGTCTGTCCTCCGCACAGCCAGGGTGCACTTGTCCATCATCATCCACGTAGATATCCACGTTTCCATCCACACATCCAGTATTTCCTTCCGAATCATCCCAACACCCCTCCTTCCATGTGTTCAGTCTGCTCCTCCAGAACATGCCCGTCTACATGGCTCCCCGCTTGTCTGTCCCTCTTGTCTCCAGCCTGTCCCGTTGTCCATCTGCACAGCCAACTTCCCTCTCATCTGCAATTTACTTCTCAAAATGTCTGGATAACCTCCAGACATTCATGGCGACTGTTTGGAAATCGTGCATTACATCTGTCTGCCTGTCTGTCTGTCTCTGTCTGTCTCTGTCTGTCTGTCTCTATCTCTCTCTCTGTATCTCTCTTTGTGTGTGTTACTGTCTGTCTATCTGTCTGCCCCCCCCCCTCTCTCTCTCTTTCTCCTGTTTGAGACATGTCTTGGTCCTGCTTGAGACTGGCCTTAGCTTGGGATCCTCTTGTCTCACAGCGTCCCGAGTGCTGGGGTCATAGTGTTTGGCACCACACCGTACTCATCCACGCTTGCTGGCTGCCTGCTTCCTTCCCCTCCTCCTCTGTTCTTGGTTCTAGCCTCAGGTTCATCCACCCAGCTCCATTTTCCTGGCTACAGATCATCCACTCATTCATTTCCTGGCTGGAAGCCTCAGGTGTTAACCCTTTCTTTCCCGTGAAGGAGATCTGGCTGGAAGGTAGAGGTGTGGAGAGAATCCCCCATGGGTGGCGGTCTAGTCTCCTCAGGATACAGTCTCCACCAGCCCAGTTGCAGACAGGAGCCTTCAGTTCCAGACACCATGATCTGGGCCTGTCTTCTCCATGGTCTCTGCTAAGCAGAGTGTCACAGTATGATGTCTGTCATGTGTGAGAGCCCTCTTTCTCTGACCTCTGGCAGTAAACACTTTACAGACACTTTCCCGGGCTCCTCCTGCAGTGAGCTGCCTCTGATCTGGTTGAATAGTTGGTTGTAGTCTTCCTAGGTCCCTTCTGCTGTCTGTCATATGTCTTGAAATAATTCAGATTTGGACATCAGCCCTTTTCCTTCCTAAAAACCCCTCAGGGCCTTCCACATGCATCCTAGAGTACCACCCTGAAGTCTGGGGATGCCTGGAGCTGTGGCGTCTTGTAGGCCCTTGCTGACCAAAGACTTCCAGTCAGAGGGCAGCTGTCCCCGGGCATGCACAGCCAGGAGCTGGCTCTTTTTTTTTTTGTTGTTTTTGTTTTTGTTTTTGGAGACAGGGTTTCTGTGTATAGCCCTGGCTGTCCTGGAACTCACTCTGTAGACCAGGCTGGCCTCAAACTCAGAAATCCACCTGCCTCTGCCTCCCAAGTGCTGGGATTAAAGGCGTGCGCCACCACCGCCCAGCCGGGAGCTGGCTTTTTAGTGTCCATGGGCTCATTGGTATGTCTTGACTGCTACAGTGAACAGCCCCCTGGAGGTGGAGTTGATTGGTCCCAAGGATCCTGCAGTGAGCCAGGCCAGGTTCAGTTCCTAACTCAGAAGCACCTTTGGTTTTGGGGTGGGTGAGACAATGACAGGCTAGGAACTGTGATTCTGGATGGGGAGGTGCCAGTGCTGGACAGGGAATAGGGGACAGGAGAGGTGGCTCTGGAAGACTTCTCGGGAAGGTGTTATCCAGGCAGGGCAACCACATGGTTGGGGGCCATCCCAGGCCAGGGGGAGATGCATGAGCAAGAGTGTGACACATCAGGACCAAGGGGGTGTAGTCCACCATGTTAGGGACTTTGTCCAGTCACTGTTCAGATGGGGAAACTGAGGCTCAGAGCAACAGAGAACCCCAGTGTAACTCCCTCGAGCCTTTCTGAGGTTTCACCCTAGCCTGGTCCCTGGAGAAATTCAAGAAAACTTGGAGAACCAGGGCAAAGTTTGAGGCCCCAAGGATTTCTAGTGGTATCCAGTGGTATCAGGTGGGAACCGAGTTCCTCTATACAGAGGGTCAGAGGGTCAGGAATGCTGGTTAGAGAATGTTCCGCTCTTGCTCTGTGGAGTACTCCACGGCCAGCATCCCCTTTCCCATAAGCCCTTTGGGTCCTGAGCAGAGGGAGGAAGGAGACTGCCTGTCCAAGGCCTTCCGGTTCATGCCAATTGTATTTGCTCTCTCTGTTCCTTTTTCTCCCTCCTGGTCCTCTGCTTCCCCCGTCTCCTCTCTGTCTCTCTTAGTCACGTAAGTTCTGATGTATCCCGTCTGTGCAGGCCTGGGCTGGATAGCAGCATGGCAGAGAGAGGATCTCCGTCCTCGTGGTGTCCGGGCTAGCTCTTTCCCTCTGGTGCCCAATTAAAGTTTGCTGAATGACTATACAACCGTCTCTCTTTTGCCTTCCTCAGCCCTCTCTGCGTCCTGTCATGCTTCTACCTTGCTCTGTGGCTCAGTACTCCTCCCACGCACACACAGGATTCAGACATGTGGTTCTCAGGAACAATGACAACTTTGGCTAATATGTATCTCATGTTTACTGTGTAGTGGGCTCTGGGCTAATTCCCAGCTTTTATGGCCTCCTCTGCCCTAAACATTGTTGGATGATGAAATTAATAAGCAATTGAGAAAGTGAATGCTTCTCTTAGGTCTGGCTTTTCTGCGTCAGACAGTGCTCAGGAAGGGCCAGACGGTCAGCTCAGGTGGTAAAGTCCTGGCCCAGCATGCTCCAGGCCCTGGCTTCGGTTCCCATCCTTGCAAAAGCCAGGCATAGTGAGTGGCACACGCTGACATCCCAACACTCAAGAGGCCAAGATGGGAGATTCGAGATCAGTTTGGGCTTCGTGTCCTGTACGAAGCCAGTCTAGGCAACACAAGATCCTGTCTCTCACACACAAAGGTGTTCCGTGTTCAGTAAATGTCAGATGAATAGATGGGGAAGATGGGTGGGCAGGTGAGAGGGATGAGGGTGGTGGCGGTGAGGTAGAAGGATGAACAGAAGACCATAAAGATGGATGGATGGATGGATGGATGGATGGATGGATGGACGGATGGACAAAGGAGTGAGTGGGTGGGTATATGGATAGAGGGGTGGATGGGTGAGATGGATGGATGGGTGGATGGATGGATAGGTAGATGGACGGATGGACAGATGGACGGATGGACAGATGGACAGGTGGATAGATAAGCGAGTGGATGGGTAGATGTATGTATGTATGTATGGATGGATGGATGAATGGACGGACAGATGGACAGATAGATGGATGGATGGATGGATGAATGAATGGATGGATGGACACATGGATGGATGGATGGATGGATGGATGGACAGATGGATGGATGGACAGATGGACAGATGGATGGATGGACAGATGGACAGATGGATGGATGAGTGGATGGGTAGATGAGTGGATGGATAGATGGATGGATGGATGGATGGATGGATGGATGGATGGATGGATGAGTGGGTGGATGGGTGGATGGATGAGTGAGTGAGCCGTTAAATGGAGGGAGGAGAGATGGGTGGGCTGGAGGATGAGCAGGCTTGTATGCTTTCCTTCTCTTTTTCTGCCAAACACACAGTAGGCTAGCTTATCCCTTTCTGAGCTTTAGCATTCCATAGTAGTCTTTAGTTTGGTCCCCCAGGTTTCATTTCCCCCAACCTCTGCCTCCCTTAAGTCAGGGAGGGCAGGGCAGGCAGAGGCTAAGCTCCTGGTGTCCTTCTTTATTCCCTCTAGGAAGCAGCCACAGAGCCCCAAAGCTCCTGCACCCCAGCCACCCCCCATCCTCAAAGTCTTCAACCGGCCCATCCTCTTTGACATTGTGTCCCGGGGCTCCACCGCTGACCTGGATGGACTACTCTCCTTCTTGTTGACCCACAAGAAGCGTCTGACTGATGAGGAGTTCCGGGGTGAGCCTCCCTGGTGGGCAGGGGGAGGGGTCTGCCCTGCTTGGGTAATACTCCTTCCTCCCTGTTTGCATATCTCTTTGGGCCAAACACACTAGAAGAAGTTGGGTGGAGTCTGGTCTCCTGCATCCTTTACATTCTGGAATGTCTCCGGGTCTTGACTTCCTACAGAATTCATTCACGAAGTAGCTAACCGAAGTTTAGCCAAGGGGGCTCTGACGCACTTCTACACTTGACATTGGTGGTGTGTCTTCCCCATGACACGACAGACTGTGTGCCCTGGAGTGGTCTAAACCCAGGCAGTTGGAATCTCTTGTTCCCCATGGGTAGCAGGGCAGTGGGTTGCGGTAGTTGAAAGGTGGCAGGGTGGTAGTTGGGATTCCTATTTGCACCTCTAGAGATCACGAGCCCCTCCCCCCCCCACCCGACTCAGCACCACCCACAGCATTGCCTTCCTTTGCCTTTTTCACCCTCAGAACCCTCTGTGGACTCCCGATCTCTGTGAGCTGCCCTGGTCTCACCTGTACCCAGTCATGTCATGTAGCCTGTGAACCCTTTTCTCCAAGCTAGCTGCCACCACGTGCCAGCACCAGGTCAGAGGTGACTGGCCAGAGGACCCCACAAGTCATTGCTAATAGACCCATGTATAGTCCCTGCTTTCACAGCAGTGGTCATCTTTTAAAGTCTGGCCTGGTTGGACTTCCGATGCCAACAAAGCTTTCGTGCCTCCCTTGCTAAAAACTGTCTATAGTCTTGAGTTGGATTTTTTTTCATGGTTCACAGTCTACAACAGGGACCCCCAAATTGTACAACCTTCGGGCTCCACAAAGCCTGCCTCCTCCCCTGCATGTTTTTCTGGCTGGAAGCTGATGAGCTCATCCGATTTTCAGGGGTATCTGGAATCTCCACCCCATCCCCTCCCAGAAACCCCTCCACACCCCCATGGCGGCATTTCACAACCTCTGTCAATGGGCCATTTAGAGTCCGGGCTCGAGCAGGCGCCATAGCCAGAGCCATGTCGCCACCTGGTGGTCAGCTGAGGAACTGCCTCCTCTTTAGTAGCGGTTCCATAGCCAAAGCACAGAAGCCCGGGACCCTGGACCGGGTTCGCCGTGTTTCAGCTGTGACTTGGAATCACAGAAGGTGCCCGGTGCCTCCTTTAGTGAGTTCTTACTAATTCAGCAAGATGCCACTGGGTACCGATCAAGTGCCAGGCGCTGGGCTGGTGTCCGGAGGGAGGTGGGTGGGTTGCAGCTGAAGATGAGGAATTGATGAACAAGCCAGATAGAGTCCCGGTCTCAAGCGGCTCTCGGTTACCCAGGAGGGACAGACGTGGACCCAGTGACCACGCAAATAAGCACAGAGTTACAAACGGTGAAGGGTATCTAGTCGGGGGACGGGAAACACCCCCTTGCGCCCCTCCTTCGTCCGAGTGAGTTATGTTAGTGTGTGAAAAAGGAGGGAGGGGTGTTTCAGGTTGGATACCTGTGAAGGGACAGTGAATACAAGGACCCCGTGGCCTTCAGTGACCTCTGAGGTGACTGTGGCAACAGCTGTATGCAGAGTGGACCACAGAAGCTGGGCAAACCGGGGGGCTATCTTGGGCTTGTGAGAGACAGTGCCTGATTCAGGGTGATGGTGGCAGAGATGACAGACAGCCAAGGGGGGGAGTACCAGAAAAATGGGTAAAACAGATGCTCTGGGGCAGGCGTGGGCCGGGGGTGGGGGACGCTGAGGATTCAGGGTGGATGGGGCTCCGGGGCTGGGAGGGGAATTGTGTTGCCGTGGAGAGCTGGTAGTTGCTGGTGATACTGATAAAATGTAGAGTTGATACCACCCCGTGCTGGAGATTGGGGGTGCATCTGCACCGCCCTCAAGGGCTCTGGCTGGCATTCAGGGCAGCCTCCACCTGGTGCCCGTGGGAAGCTATACCCATTGATGGATTCCATGAACAGATGGCTGGGGTTAGCCTGGGCCAGCTACCCAGGAGATGGGAGAAAGGCTGGGGGTCAGGCTAGACATTTCCCAGGCTTCAAGCCCTCCCTACATCTGGGGAGATGGCCTTACATTCCCTACCACAGGATGTTAAGAGCAGCATTGACAGTTAAGGGGGGGCTAGTCGATGCCCGGGGTCCTGCCAGTCACAGTACTGGTTGATTCATCGATGTCCCCTTGATTGCCGTTGAACGAGAGATAATGCCAAGACTCCAACCCCGAGGGCCAGCCGGCAAAGCTCGCCCTCACCCCATGCCTATGGCTCTCCTGGATCTGTTGCCCAGGCCTGGTTGGTGGTGCTGGTGGGAGCTTGCTTTTTACTGATTCTTTGGAGACCGAATCTAGTTCCTGTAGCCAAACACATCGTAGCGAGGGAAAGGAACTTTGAAGAGGGTGTCGGGGAGCATTGGGGAGAGGTGACGGACACCCGGCAGACTCAGACTTTGAAAGATGTTGGACAGTAACGGAAAACGTTTAAGCTTATGTGCCTGTGGGACTCTCAGACACACCGCCCCCCTTAAGATGTCTCACCTTCTTTATAATCAGTCCTGGCTCTAGGGAGCATCGTGGCCAGCCCTTCCCTCCGCTCTAGTGATGCTGTAAACACTTCATGGGTCAGGCTTCTGTGTTCCCGTGGGTGGACATGTGATGTCTGGCGTGTCTCGCTTTTAGAGCTTGTAAAGGCCCTCGTAAGCTCAGTGGTGTAAAGTGCCCACTGCGTGACCACGAGGACCTGGGTTCAGATCCCAGCATCCGTGGAAAAAGCCATGGAAGGTGTCACATGTCTGGGATCCCAGTTCTTGAGGAGGTAGGAACAGGCAGATAGACCCCCAGAGCCTGCCTGAGCCGGTGAGCTGCAGGTTCCATGAGAGACCCTGTCTGGAAAGTAAGGTGGGCAGGGATGAGACAGACACCTGGTGCTGACTGGAGGCCTCCATGCAGACATGTGTATACATATGTGTATACATAGGAAGCACAGAGCGAGGGAGATAGGGCTCTGACGGGTCCTGCAGTTAAGACATGTGATATGAGCCGGGCGGTGGTGGCGCACACTTTTGATCCCAGCACTCGGGAGGCAGAGGCAGGCGGATTTCTGAGTTCAAGGCCAGCCTGGTCTACAGAGTGAGTTCCAGGACAGCCAGGACTACACAGAGAAACCCTGTCTCGAAATAAACCACAACAAAAATCAACAAGATGTATAGTTGACTTTATTTTTTTAACACACAGGTACACTCGCGCGCGCGCGCGCACACACACACACGTACACCCCACATCTCTCTGTATCCCAGTCTGGTTGGCGTTTAGCGCTCTTTTCCCATCTACTCAGATTTCCAGGCCCTTTAAAAATTCCCTCTACGAGCTGGGGCGATGGCTCAGTGGTTAGAGCGCTGGTTGGCCTTACAGAAGACCTGAACTCGGTTCCCAGCACCCATGTGGTGGCTCACAGCCATGAGTAACTTCAGTTTCAGGGGATCTAATCCCTGCACAGGACCTCCATGGGCACTGCCTATACATAGTGTGTAGATATCCATGCAGGCCACACGCCCATACGCATAGATAAAATAAAAAAATTAAACTTCCCTCAAGTGCAGGGTGGCACAACCCTGTAATCCCAGCACTCTGGGAGCCAAAGCAAGAAGACTGAGAGTTCAAGACCAGCCTGGGCTCCGTAACGAGACCCTGTGTCAGAGAGAAATCTCCCCCAACTATGATGTCAAGGCATATCTATTGCCGGACACCGTGAGAGACCCAGGGAGCTGTGTCCCCACCAGGCAGGCAGAAGCCATCTCAGACAGGTGTGGCAGTCCAGCCTGGGCTCCTGTCCCAAATTCACAGCCAGGTTCTGAACCCTGTCTCTTCCTGCCCCTGTCTCTCAGAGCCATCCACGGGGAAGACCTGCTTGCCCAAGGCCCTGCTGAATCTAAACAACGGCCACAACGACACCATCCCAGTGTTGCTGGACATTGCGGAACGCACCGGTAACATGCGTGAATTCATCAACTCGCCCTTCAGGGACATCTACTACCGAGGTAGGTCTGGCCTCAAAGTGCTGTCGCACCATTACTGAATGGGCGGGTGAATGAATGAATGAATGAATGGTGGTACAACAGCTATTTCTCGCACTCTGCTAGTCTGAATTTTTTTTTTTTGGTCTTTTTTATTTTTTTATTTTTTCGAGACAGGGTTTCTCTGTGTAGCCCTGGCTGTCCTGGAACTCACTCTGTAGACCAGGCTGGCCTCGAACTCAGAAATCCGCCTGCTTCTGCCTCCCAAGTGCTGGGATTAAAGGCGTGCACCCACCGCCCGGCTAGTCTGAATTTCAGAATGAGAGATTCCAAGCTTTTGTGGTACAACACCCATTGCTGTCTGGTACCCGTGAGCTAGAAAACTGAAGTCTAGAAACTTTGTGGTTGGACCCTTAGGCCACTCGAGGCTCTGCAGGGCATGGGGTTGAGCCTCCAATTCTGTGTCGTGTGCGCCAGCTCTGTGCTCTCCACTTCTGAGAGCCTACTAACCAATCCTAAGGCTGCAAAATGCCAACATTCGGAGTCTGTGAAGTTCATGGATGTGTCGGGGTGATTTGGCCAGGGCATCTAGTTACCACTCTGGTCTCCAAGGGTTGATTTGGCTGACTCAGTTGGCTGGGTGGGGGGTCCCCTACATGGTCATGGGCATCGTTCCCAGGCTGTGTGCTCAAATCAGTGGCCCGCAAGAAGCTTGGCGTTCCTCCTAGACTCTTAAGCGTCCTCAAAGCCTACACAGCATACAGCGAGCAGCCAAAAAGTCTGAGGCCAGGAGGCCACTGTGCCCTCCAGGGTTAAAGTGTGTGTGTCTGAGTTCTTGCCCTTGGAACCTACAAGCCATTCATCCTGTGAGCTTAAAAGTCCAGTCTTGAATACAGCAGGCTCTGGCTGTTATGCACCCCAAATCCCATGTCAAGCCTACTCACTGCCTTCCAGTGATTGCGGGATAAGGCTTGGCTTTGAGGTCCCTAGGCTGCTTTCCACATCTGGTGGCAGACTCTGGACCCCTCAGCAAGCCTGGCTATCATCTTCCCCAGGCCAGACGTCCCTGCACATTGCTATTGAACGACGCTGCAAACACTATGTAGAGCTTCTGGTGGCCCAGGGAGCCGACGTGCATGCCCAGGCCCGAGGGCGCTTCTTCCAGCCCAAGGATGAGGGTGGCTACTTCTACTTCGGTGAGTAGCGGGGCGGCTGAGGGTAGAGATAAGGGAGAGGCGGTGTCTGCAGCCCTGGTGGCTCCCACACACTCAGAGCTGGGCTGCCACAGGCGTGGATCCCCCAGGTTCCCACTCCCTGAGGCCGTGCTTCAGAGCCTGAAGGAAGAGCCTGAAGGAAGTTCAGAAGGGACCTGAGTTCAAATCCTCATCTTTGCTCCATCCTGGTTATGTGACTGACTACGTGAACCTCGGTTTCCCCATCTGTAGCTGGAGATCGGGAGAACTCTGGGGGCTGATATGGGGTGTCAGCACCTAGCACCCTACTATGCAAGTCTCCTTTGGTTCAACTAACACTGTCTAAGGGCTGGGATCTCACAGTTCAGACTGCCAACAGGTTGCCATAATTGGACCAATAAAATATTCTAAACGTCACCCTGCTAACACCCGTACTTGACATAGAACTCGGGGCCAAAGTCCCACAGGGTCCTACCACCAGGTCTCCAGACTCACAGCTTTCTGGTTGCATGGGCCATGTCCCTAAATAACCATCCCCTGTCTCTCCAGCAGTCAGCATGAGAAGCCCCAGACCCCGTCCAAAGTTACGTGGAGTGGGTGGTGGCATCTGTCCCCATCCCTAACACAACCGGCAAAGTCCCTCCTTGGTCCCCTGTGTTGACCCTCAGTTCCTCTGTCCCCAGGGGAGCTGCCCCTGTCCCTGGCGGCTTGCACCAACCAGCCGCACATCGTCAACTACCTGACAGAGAACCCTCACAAGAAAGCTGACATGAGGCGACAGGACTCCAGAGGCAACACGGTGCTGCACGCGCTGGTGGCCATCGCCGACAACACCCGAGAGAACACCAAGTTTGTCACCAAGATGTATGACCTGTTGCTTCTCAAGTGTTCCCGCCTCTTCCCGGACAGCAACCTGGAGACCGTCCTCAACAATGATGGCCTTTCACCCCTCATGATGGCTGCCAAGACGGGCAAGATAGGGGTGAGTGGACCCAGCTTGCCCTGGAGTGCCCGCTACGTTCATTCCCCACCCTCACTCCGCTAATCCGTCTCTGCAGGCCCTCGCTAGGGAGAAAGCATCGTAGCTCCAGAACTTTCTAGAGCTCCCTAGCCCCCAGCCAGGTTCCTCAGATTTATCTAGAAACACATATGTCATCCTCACTGCTTGACCATCAGTCAGGATGAGTCACTGAGGTAAACTGAGTCACAGGGCCCCTCACCAGCTGACTTCCAGCAGCTTGGTCTGCTTCTCCTGGGCTCTCTCAGCACAGGGGAGAACTCTTTTTTTTTTTTTTTTTTTTTTTTTTTTTTGAGACAGGGTTTCTCTGTATAGTCCTGGCTGTCCTGGAACTCACTCTGTAGACCAGGCTGGCCTCGAACTCAGAAATCTGCCTGCCTCTGCCTCCCAAGTGCTGGGATTAAAGGCGTGCGCCACCACCGACGGGAGAACTCCTAATCCCAGCCCTGGATACTGTGGGGTTGTTCTTTACTGTCTTGTGTGTTGTGGGACACCCTGGCTTGGACCCACTAGATGCCAGTAGTACCCCGTGACATGCACTGTGACAATCAAATGTCTCTACAGACATTGCTGGGCTGTCGCTTGGGAGGCACCATTGCCCTGAGAGCCAGGCCAGAGTAGCCTGCCTGTGTTAGGAAGCTGGCTATGGTTTTTGGTGCTTCCCAGCAGGGTAGGTGGGGCCTCAGGCCTCGCCCCTTTGTGCCTCAGTTTCCTTGTTGCTGTGACCATTTAAGGAGGGGAGACACGTACGGCTCTTAATGAAGAGGTGAGGGTGTGATGGAGGCTCACAGGAAGCAGTGTAGGACTGGACACAGTACAGCAGAACCCCAGCTCAGTGATCAGCCTGTGACCCCAGTGACTTGGAAGGCTGAGGCAGGAGGATTGAAAGTTCATGACAGGCTGTGGAGACAGAGCAAGTTCAAGGCCAGTTTGGGTAATTAGTGGACGGGTCTCAGAATAAAAAAGGAAGACGGGAATGACTCAGTGGTAGAAGTTGAGGCCCTGGGTTCTACCGCAGCACTGAAAGCCTGTCTGTCTGTCTGTCTGTCTGTCTGTCATCTATCTATACATATGTCAGGCATCTATTCTAATCTTTCTATCATGTCTATCATTTATGTCTATGGATCATGCCTTCTGTGTATTTATCTGTCTGTCTGTCACCTGTCAGTCAACCACATGTGTTCTACCGAGAGCACCTAGCTGTCTGTGAGCAAACGTCCCCTCTGCAGGTCTTTCAGCACATCATCCGGCGGGAGGTGACAGATGAGGACACACGGCACCTGTCTCGCAAGTTCAAGGACTGGGCCTACGGGCCTGTGTATTCTTCTCTCTATGACCTCTCCTCCCTGGACACATGCGGAGAGGAAGTGTCCGTGCTGGAGATTCTGGTGTACAACAGCAAGATCGAGGTGGGTACCGGGGGGGGGGGGGGGGGGGGGGGGGGGCGGGGGGGGGCTGGCTGTGGCTGAGTCAGGCCAGGACCACAGGCTGGGAGCTCTGTGACCCAGAGCATGTGATCAGTGTCAACTAAGCATCCAGGACAGTCTCCAGCAGGGTGGGCTTGGGGACAGGTTGTGGGGATTCTGGCTCTGTCATTATATTTACTGTGTGACCCAGGGTGAATGGCATAGCCTCTCTGGGTCAGCTTTTTCATTTGTAATATGTGTAGAGGATGATGTTTCTCCCCTGGGGTTGTTGGGGAACCAGGTGAGTCAGTTTTAGAAAACCCTGGTATGGAAACAATTCTGTCGGCTGTGGTCACACGCGATTGTAAATCAGATTTCTGAAAGCCCTGTTCATTTGCATCAGGAGATGCTCTCCCTGTGCCTAGGCGCCGAGTGTAAGTAAATGTTCAGGTGTTTAGCAGGTCATTCTTCTGTTGTCGGTCCCTTAACCTTTGTGGGGACTTCTAGCCATTAGATGGACAGCACTCTGGACATGTGGGGCTAGGTGTGGGCAGCCTGCCTCCCAGCCCTGCCTGTGGCTCCTGGCTCTGGGATCGAGTACTTTCCTTCCCTCATCCCTCTGAGATGAGAATCCATTGTCAGGTTTGCAGGTGTAGCATCTCTGATGCAAACCGATCCACCGCTAGGGCCTACCAGGAGAGCTGTGTAGAACACGATTGTGCAGCGCTCAATTATTGATGTCTGCCTGTGTGAAGAACTGGACAGTTGTGGTACACCAGTCATGTATTGTTGAGCTGAATATCCCAAACCTGTTCCTTGATTAGACGTTGTGAATATGGAACCAAGATTTATACTTTCAGCTTGACCAGAATTGGGGAACATGAGAAGGGGGGGATTTTTTTTTATTTGTTTGTTTGTTGTTGTTTTTGTGGTGCTGTTGTTGTTTTTGTGGTGCTGTGGATCCAAGCCTGTGTCTTGTTCTCGCTATGCAGGCGCTCTCCGCTGTGCAATATCCCCAGCCCCTAGGGTTTTGTTTTGAGACAAGATCTCACTGTGTAGCCCTGGCTGGTCTGGAACTCTCTCTGTCAACCAGACTGATCTCAAACTCACAGAGATCCACCTGCCTCTGCCTCCTGAGTGCTGGGATTAAAGAAGTGAGCCACCATGCCTGGTGTCTCCCCACCCTCTGTTTAAAAATCGACAGCTTTCGTTTCACTTTATGTGTGTGGGCGTTTCGTCTGCAGATATGAATGCACTGGTGGCTGGAGAGGCCAGAAGGGCGCTTCAGATCTCCTGGAACAGGAGTTATAGATCGTTGAGAGCTGTCATGTGGGTGCTGGGAGGTGAATCTGGGTTCTCTGTAAGAGCATCCAGTGCTCTTAACTACTGAGCCATCTCTCTAGCCCATTAAAAAAAATGTTTATTATGAATGTTTGCCTGCATGTGTGTGTGCAGTACCGAGGGAGGCCAGAAGAGGGCATTGGATCCCCTGGTTCTGGAGTTCAAGATGGTTGTGAGCCACTTTGTGGATACTGGAACCACTTCAGGTTCCCTGCTGGGCAGCCAGTGTGCCCAGTGCTCCCAGTGCTCCCAGTGCTCCCAACAGCTGAGCTTGCTCTTCAGTCCTGCAGCCTTGATTTTTTTTAAAGTCTTTTGCTGTGTAGTTCATGAACTTGTGATCCCCCTGCCTCAGTCTCCCAAGTGCTATGATTACGGGTGGGTGACACCAAGCCCAGCTACACTAGACGTTCTTATTGCATGTGTGTGTGTGTAAACACGTGTGCCACAGTGTGCGTATGGAGGCTAGATGGTAACTTTGTGCGGTCTCTTCTCTCCTTCCACCTTTATATGGGTTTCAAGGACTGAACTCAGGTCCCTAGGGTTCCCCAGCAAGCACCTCTACCAGCTGAGAGCCATCTTGGTAGCCCAGAGCAGGTGTATTTTAAGGAATTTTCTGGTTCTGTGGTACTGTTGAATAGGAACGAAGGGTTAGTTGACGTGGAATTGTGCAGAGCCTCGAGCGCTGAGACCACTGAACTTCCTGGGGAATCCTTGAGCGTGGCCAGAGAATGGCTTAGGAGGCGGGGCCTCGCTGGAGAATGACTTAGGAGGCGGGGCCTCGCTGGAGAATGACTTAGGAGGTGGGGCCTCGCTGGAGAATGACTTAGGAGGTGGGGCCACACTGGAGAATGACTTAGGAGGCGGGGCCGTGCTGGAGAATAGCTTAGGAGGCGGGGCCGCGCTGGAGAATAACTTAGGAGGCGAGGCCACACTGGAGAATTACTTAGGAGGCGGGGCCGCATTGGAGAATAACTTAGGAGGCGGGGCCGCACTGGAGAATAACTTAGGAGGCGGGGCCGCGCTGGAGAATAACTTAGGAGGCGGGGCCGCACTGGAGAATGGCTTAGGAGGCGGGGCCGCACTGGAGAATGGCTTAGGAGGCGGGGCCGCGCTGGAGAATGACTTAGGAGGCGGGGCCGCGCTGGAGAATAGCTTAGGAGGCGGAGCCGCACTGGAGAATAACTTAGGAGGCGGGGCCGCGCTGGAGAATGGCTTAGGAGGCGGGGCCGCACTGCTGTGAGCCTGCCTGGATCCCCAGCGTGGGGAAGGTGGTCATGACACCCTGCCTTTCCCAGAACCGCCATGAGATGCTGGCTGTGGAGCCCATTAACGAACTGCTGAGAGACAAGTGGCGTAAGTTTGGGGCTGTGTCCTTCTACATCAACGTGGTCTCCTACCTGTGTGCCATGGTCATCTTCACTCTCACTGCCTACTATCAGCCACTGGAGGGCACGGTGAGTGCTCGCTGGGGAGCCTGGCACAGGGATCAGCCTCTGTGGCGGGGATGGGAGACAGCTTGGGGCTGGGGAGGAAGATACCTCAGCACCCACATGGCTCTGAGCCTGGAGGAGACTCTGGGGGAGACAGGAGAAGAAGCTGCTGAGGACACAGATGTTTGGGGCAGCGGGGAGCTGGTGTTGGGGCAGGGGAGGACCTGCTGCATCCGCTCCTCCCCACAGCCACCTTACCCTTACCGTACCACGGTGGACTACCTGAGGCTGGCTGGTGAGATCATCACGCTCTTCACGGGAGTCCTGTTCTTCTTTACTAGTGTGAGTGCTTGCCCCCAGTGCCACCTGCCTGCCCAGTTCTCGTTTTTCTTTTTTTGGTTTTTCGAGACAGGGTTTCTCTGTGTAGCCCTGGCTGTCCTGGAACTCACTCTGTAGACCAGGCTGGCCTCGAACTCAGAAATCCGCCTGCCTCTGTCTTCCAAGTGCTGAAAAATGCTTCTTATTTTTCTTTTGTTTTTTGTTTTTTTGGTTTTACCTGCCCAGTTCTCCCTCCTCCTCCTTCTCTTCTCCCTCCTCCTCTTTCCCTCTTCCCTCCTCCTCTCCTGCTCCTTCCTCCTCCTGTTACTCTTCCTCCTTCTCCCCCTCTTGCTCTCCCTCCTCCTCTCCCTCTTGCTCTCCCTCCTCCCCCCTCCGCTCCTACTCCAGTCTAGCTTCTACTCTCTGCTCTTCCACACCTGAACCCACGGTCTCTTTTCTCTCCTTCACTCTGCTTCCTTCCCTTCTGTCCTTTCACCATCCTCCCTGAAGTCCTCCTGGTTCCATATTCCTCTGTTTCTTCTCTTCCAGATCAAAGACTTGTTCATGAAGAAGTGCCCTGGAGTGAATTCTCTCTTCGTTGATGGCTCCTTCCAGTTGCTCTAGTGAGTGAAATCTCGGGGCAAACGCTTCTGGGTGAAGATGGTCTTCCAGGTCGTAGGGAGAGTAGATAGAGACACTGTCAAGAATGGATTCATCCAGCTGAGTAGCCATAATCAAACAGCTGGGCCAAGCTTGCTTGCTACAGGGTTGATCCATACCATGGAAGGAATTTTTACCTCTTACACTGGTGACTGAATGCTAGTGTCTGCTTGTGATTAAGATTTGTAATACTGTTTAGTGAGGAGAAGTACAGCCATCGATTATTGATGTCTGCCTAGGTCACAGAATGTGGGAATCAATGCATGTGTGCTACATCTTTTCCAACAATGAAATTTAGCCACAAAGACTCCATAGGACTCAGAATCTTTCATTTCTTTTTTTCTTTCTTTTCTTTTTTACCATTTTCTTTTATTTTAATTATTACTTATTCATGTGTATGTATGTTCAGGAAGAGTCAACGAGGTATCAGATCCACCTGGCGTTAAAGGCAGTTGTAAGCTGCCTGATACAGATACTAGGAATCAAACTCAGGTCCTCTGCAAGAACAGGATGCACTCTTTTTCTTTGTTTTTTTTCGAGACAGGGTTTCTCTGTGTAGCCCTGGCTGTCCTGAAACTCACTCTGTAGACCAGGCTGGCCTCGAACTCAGAAATCTGCCTGCCTCTGCCTCCCAAGTGCCAGTACGCACTCTTAATCAGTGAGCCATCTCTCCAGCCTTCTGAATCTTTCTTAAAAATTCCAGAAGGTGTGGCTTTGGGGTCTAGTAGTGCCTAGGACTCAATGTCTAGAGCCAGGTGGTGGTGGCACATACATTTGATCTCAGCACTCAGGAGGCAGAGGCAGGCAGATCTCTGTGAGTTTGAGGCCAGCCTGGTCTATATTGCAAGTTCCAAGATAGCCAGAGATACATTTATAGAGAGACCCTGTCAAAAAGGAAAAGGAAACCAAGCTGTTTAACTGAACACTGAGATGTCAGGGTCTCCACTGTTCTCCCCTGGGGTCTTGAGGACTGGGACTTCTTGGTGTCCTGAAGGGCTTGAGGACACGTCTCTCTCCTCATCCACTATCTCACCATCCCCTCCCCCCTCTGGCCCTCTCACCCTCTCTGCTACCCTGTAGCTTCATCTACTCTGTGCTGGTGGTTGTCTCCGCGGCGCTCTACCTGGCAGGGATCGAGGCCTACCTGGCCGTGATGGTCTTTGCCCTGGTCCTGGGCTGGATGAACGCCCTTTACTTCACCCGCGGGTTGAAGCTGACGGGGACCTACAGCATCATGATCCAGAAGGTTTGGGCTAGACTCAGCATGCCTGTTCTGTGGTCTGACATGAGGGCATGGCACTGGGGGACCATGGGCCTGCTCCAGCATGGGGGCAGCACTGGTGGAGCTCGGAGAGAAAAGTGGGACGGGGGAGTGGGGAGTTGAGAAAACTTTGTGTGCCCTTCCCCCACAATACCTCTAACTAGCCCCTCTCTGGTGTTAGATCCTCTTCAAAGACCTCTTCCGCTTCCTGCTGGTCTATCTGCTCTTCATGATAGGCTATGCCTCGGGTGAGTCTGGGCCTAGAGTGCTGGTGGTGATAACTAGGGCTATAGGGGAAGGGATATCCATTGCCCTGGGCTGAGGGCAGGGAGTATCCCTGCCTGAGATCCCTATGTGTGGGCCAGGTCCAGTCAAGCTGCATTCCCTGCTCCCAGCAAGACCACAAAGCAAAAGGCCTCCTCACCCTGCTGAGGTCAACATGCTCCTGTTACTCATTTTTTGTGCCCAAAGCAGACATTACTAATGGATCACAGATTTTCTGTTGGATGTAGATCAGGTCTCAGAATCCTCCACACACACTGTTTGAGCATTACAGAGGAGCGGTCGGTCTCAGGTCAGAGAGTCCATGTAAAGCCCTTGTCTCCAAAGGCTACTAAATGCAGGCCAGCAAGATACCTCTGGGTAACAGTGCTTGCTGTCAAGCCTGATGACCTAGTTTCAACCCTGTGACCCACAGAGAGGAAGGAGATACCTGACTCATGAAACTTGTTTTCTTGCCCCCACGTGTGTGCTCACGCACAGAGACACACCCAAATAAACAAATGTAATGAAAACATTATTTTAAGCCAGTAGATGCAGAAATGGAATGTAAGCTACCTCTGTGAAGCCAACTGAAGCTGAAACTTACAGGTTGGGTCGGGTACACTAGGTCACAGGTCAGGGCCCTATGTAACACAAAGCACACATGCTCCTGTTACTCATTTTTGTGCCCAAAGCAGACATTACTAATGGATCACAGAATGATTTTTCTGTTGGATGTAGATGAGGTCTCAGTATCCTCCACACACACTGAGTATCTACTACACAATTAGCCTGCATTGGTGTGTGAGTTGAAAAGTGTTCACCACGCTTTCTAGTTGAAGGCAGTATAGCTTCCCCATCATGCTAAGGTCAGCCTCCCTGCCCGGGTGGCTGGTTGCTGTCATCTGGGCTTAGCAGAAAAAGATAGTGAGAACAGCTTGGAATGTTTACAGGCATGGAGGCCCTTACATCAGGGCCTCTGGGACCAGCAAGACAGAGCAGTCAGCCTTGTGCTTCCTCTCTGGCTTGTGTGGAGGGGAAGGAGGAGCCTGTGTGGAACCAGCAAGGAACAGGCTATGTAAGGGCTTCTGGGGACGAGGGTCTGGCTGTCCTTGTCCAAAGAGCGGTAGGGTGTAGCAGCATCCCTGACTCCACCCGCTGGATGCCGGGACATCCACCTACCTGTCACTTGAAGGTGCCACATGTGCCCTGAGAGAAAATGACAAGGACTGGGTAGCTCTAGACGCCATTCTGAAAAATCCCTAACTCCTCAGAGCGTTTGGGGAGAGAACGGAGGCGCCCTGAGGGTCTGTGTGAGCTTCCTGCTGGTTGATCAGAGACCGGTGCATACATACCCCTCATCCCCATCCAGTGGGGTACCGCCTCTTAGCCTCCCCGCCCCCCTTCCGCAGCCCTGGTCACCCTCCTGAATCCATGCACCAACATGAAGGTCTGTGA